AATGAAGTGCTTAGGACCCCAGGGGTGGGCCATCTGTGTCATGTTTGTGTTTACGGGTGCAGCTAACGCTCAGGGTGATGATTGGCTGAATAAAGGCAAATAAACTTGAAGCAGTTCTGTATCAGCCTATCCCCCGAAGTACGACCGGGCGTCTCCTACGAGTTGCGGAGGCCGCTGCAATACGGAGAAGAAGACCAGAACGCTGTTAGCAGCTGGACCATGTGATTAACCTCGCATTGCCGTCGTAACGATATATAAAGTCATGCCTTCTCACGCCTCCTCGCCCGCCGTAGGATTGTCTGCTACCCTGTCCCCTGCCCCAGCCTCCACCCCTTTTAAACACGTCCCACAGGCTTCTCTGAGCATGAAATAACATGAACTGCCATGCCGTGACAACTACCTCCCCCCTTCTCTACCTCTTTACCATGCGCCCACGTCTATGACTAATTGTTTTCGACTCCCTTTACCTATCAAGTTTCACTCTTCGAGGCTGACACTTAATTGGACAGTTATTTATCTTATTAATAGGCAACGACCGTCTGCAGATGAATAAGAGGTCACGAAATTTTATGACGTCAATAAATCCTGCTAATCTCGTGATTTTTGTCTTGCTCAAATTTCTTCCGGGAAAACAAGGTTTCAAACATGAAACAGTTCTGTATCAACCTATTCACACTCTTTCGTCTTTCCCCTGCAACAGATTTACAGTAGATTGCCCAACAAACGAAATGTGAATATCGAACTTTAACATACATTTGAGGCTCTTAAGTTTGCTTATTGAGTTGGCTTGAGGAGTAAAAGTCGTTTACTAAAAAATAGCTCAATTCAAATCAGTACATTCAAGGAAAATTTGATAGATTTGGGTAAAAGCCATCGTTTCTTGATATCCGAGGAAACGCCTATGCTAATAAACGTTGCAGTTAAATATCTCTTGTTTGTGTTAGTGTTGTACTATCAAGGAACATTTATAAGTTGTAAACAAGCATATATACGAAAACCCGCGACATTACGTAATTTTCTCTGTCACGCCGTACACAAAAAAATTTATATTTTCAGGTGACTATGAACGAATACAGAAACTCGAAACTAGAACGGACAGAAGTTTTCACAAAAAAACTGATAATTTAGCGTTCACAACTCGGTTAGGAGACGCAATTCTCCCGTTGTGTCTTTGGGTTCACTCTCGAGCCCCGCCAACAAGCGCCCAGTTGCTAGTAGTATAAGCAGAAGATCATTACTGCCAAAGAC